GTGGCCAGAAGCACACAGCCTATGGTTTTGCCGCTTGTTTCATCTGCACTCTTCTAGACCATTTGAACTCACACTTATCGTCAAGTAAATGAATATAACGCAATTTAAAATGAGTTGTTATCAGTTTATCAGAGATCGATTACAGCAAAAGATCCTAATCATGAAGAATTAGGTACTACTCTTTCGATGACATTAGCAGCATTGGAGATTTCTCTGTCTCAGGTCCAGGAGGGCTACCCAATTGAAATGCACGGTAGTAATCGTTTAGTCATTAGTGTCGAGTTCAAGCCACCAGAGTACTACTACATAGACGAATGGAAAAAAGTTGCAAAGTGGGATTTCAGTGCAAAAATAACGTCAGTCACGAATCAAAACCATCTTCATCACTGTCGCCGCTCCATCAAATCCCGCTCGTCGGGACAAAGGCAGCAAGTGCTGCAAACTCGACGTTTCAGTGTCAGTATCTGCCCTGAAATTCCATCTGCCATTTTGTTGAGAGAATACGTCATTAATTCTTCTTTGTTGATATCATATGACTGAACCGTGAACATTGAATTTCTCCTACTTGAGCCTATACGTATGATTAGTCGGAAAAAATGGTTGTTTGAACACCTGACTAGATGGGCCTTACGGGTGGAAATTATGACGAGTAATTAATTTTGTCTCATTCATGCTCGAATTTTTAGCAAACTCTACTTTATAGGGCATCCTCAGGCTAGACCAGACCGGAACTGTCGCCTTTGCAGCGCGTGAAGTCAGTGATGTTTTGTAGTAAGGAGATTTTGAATAGGATGGGCCCATGAAATGTCGGGGTGCAATCGTCGCTAACATAACTAACATAGATAAAAATTATAAAAGAAACTTTTCCATACTTTCGGCTTCATACAGCTTCGGCTGTATTCGAAAAATTCTAGTTTCTGGACCTGTATATTATTATTTCTGAATCATTAAAGGAAACAGGTCGCACTTTTGAAATGCTTTAATTTCAGTGGAAGGAGGATTTACTGCTCGAAATAGTGACTACGAATCGAATAGAAACAAATATGCAACTTACAATTCTGTAAGATGACAGGCAACAAGTTTTTGACCGAGTTATTCTGATGGAAAACCAAACAAAAGCCCGCTAGTGACCTGAAAGACCGGACACTACCTATACAAATCATCATCCACTCAATATGCATAGCTCATTTGAACGTACCGAACGCTGCACCGGCTTACTGGTACGGTCAAGTGATCAAGGGGGCGATTTCACGCCTCATACCATACATCTCGATACGATGAATAGGTCGGACATCTGTCCCGTTCGCGGCCCATGTAAATGACCGAAATAGGCCTGGCATACCGAGGTCATAGCATGGCTGCAAACAGCTGGGCCGAGTGACCAGCGTCCTCCCATTTACTGGTGCCATCCTCCAATTCACCACTCTTCGTTCCCTTTCTTCCCCACTGTTGTATGCTTTTTTTGAAGGCCTTGTTGTTTGTTTGTTTGTCAGTTGTTTATATTTTCAGTTGCTTACTCTTCCAATTACTTCATTTTGCCCTATCCTTCACGTTTTGAATTTCAAATTCAAATCGATGGTTCCTTCACTTAGCCCGAGCTCATAGCCATTCTTCATAAAGGGATAGCTAAGGGATGGCAAAAGGCGGAGGTGTCAGAAATTTTAAGAAGTCAAACAAGTTCCTGAAGGAGGATAATGTAGGATCCTTTTATTTCATCAGAAGGAAGAAGGATGACGAATTTGGATCAAGCTCTCGAATACCCAATGCCAATAAGTACCTCTACAGTTCTAGGAGCTATGACCGAGAATCTTATCCAGAGATTCTACTATTTACTTTCTCTCAAGACAAAGGCATACTTCATGCCGTGAATGATACCATTGAGTGTGATATATGCACACGAGGTCACCCTAACACCCATATGGGCGTAGTCGGATTCCGATTTCCGATGCATGCTGTGCTCCCTACAGTTTCAGCTGATCGTCTTCCTGTTGTTTATTATATCGACTGTTTCGAAATACTGGAACGGTTTGAATTGTGCCCTTTAAGCTTGTGTAATCGATATTCATATGTACTTGTACTTTGGTATCCTTCCTTACACTAATCACGAAGCAAAGCGAAAACTTGGTGCCATTAATTCCACAACTCTCCATAGAGCCTAGAGCTCGCCATCATCTCCCCTAGGCGATGGGTGGACGGGAAAACATTCTGGCGACAGATTATTCGTTTTGAATGATTTATCCCTAAAAACGCTGGCCTTCCTAAGGAAATTCCCGCTCATCTGTGTGAATCAATCAATAATTTTGAGAACAACTGACTTCCCTCCCTCACAGTATTGGTCCCTCATTTTGGATCGGCTCACTGAAACAGTTTCTCTTTGTCCTACTGGACTCCATCGAGACAGAAAGACTTGACAATTCGGGGTGTTCGAGATCTTTTCGATGGCTTAGGAGTATTTCAAGTCCCTCAGTTGCGAACCAATAATGTGTCTTACTAAGAAAATAGATGGAATGGACTATTGTGTACTGCTAATAGAATGTTTATATTATTGTGTAGAATAGTAATACATATACTGGTATACTTCTGAGTGATAAGCAGGGTCATACCTGAGGTGCTCACGAGTCTGAATAGAGTCACGAGCCCTGCGGTCTCCTGTATGTTTTGAAGGAGAACTGAAGAATGTATAGGTCAATTGTGGTGGCAACTAGAGCAATTCAAGAAGTACGCTAACAAGTATCCACTAACTCTGGTACTAAATGAAGTCGGCCCCTTCGAAACTGTACAGGCAGGCATTAAGAAGCGGGTGGGTTCGATGAGTTCACGCTGGGCGTAATTCCAGCAGCCGATGCGTTTTCCTAAGTATCTCTGAAGATCTTCTAAACTACTTGCGTATGCACTAGTTATTTGGTGCCAGTGATCCAATGACCTTTGTGCCAATATTTGTACTGAAAGTCACGGACTGTTCGAGTTACAACTAGATTCACAGGAGTGGAAGGTTCCCGCCCAGTCTTTTACCCCAACCTCATAGGGTAGGGGGGAGGGATATTCCTAGACAACTTTTTCAAACACGAATCTAGTTTGTCGGAATATTTTTGGCCGAAAATGGATAACCCATTCGGCATCTCCAGGTCGGCCACACATCAAACCCGTCAATTCGTCAATATTTGCACATCTTCTATATCGTCTAACCCCGTCTTTCCCACTTTTCCATTCCAGTTGTGCTGATATTTGTCTACCCTTTTTCGTAGAGTTTTCCTGCAACTAGTGGACCACCCTGGGTGGTGCATCATTTCTTGATAGATCTTTCCTGATGATTCTCAATAGTCTTGGTATAATCGTGCTGTAATTTGTTGAATATACTTTGAAATAAGTGAAAAACTTCCTGTAATATTTACATGATGCCAGCGAGAGATCGACATTTGAATGGAGTTCACCACATTATTCACGGGAATACCCTTTGCATCGCACCCCCCGACCGACAATTCGTTGGAACGATTCTTCAGTTACAATTCAATGTTACACCGGTATCTGAATAATGGCACCCCGTTTGCCAAGGACACTTCAGGCTGCTGTAGTCTCGCCAGCCAGCCACACCAATGCTCATTGGTGTTCGTTGTGTTCATTGTCGATTCCGTTACCGTCCGATACCCTAACCTATCACTTATGTGTAAGTTGTACCTGTAAAGAAATGACCGTAATATGCCGGTGACATGGCAGATTTGTAAAAGGAGGGTGTTGTTCGTATCTGGCCGAAGTCTGTTGACCTGATTGTTTGTTGGCCAAACGTTGTCGGAGTCCGTCCGACAAACCATCGTCGTCTCTTCGCATCGTTCGACGGCCGCCAGAGCGACGACCGACCGTTCTTCGTTCGCCGTCGTCCCTCGCACCTTCGCCCCGGTCACCCACCCCCCTCCCCGATCTGATCTGTCCATGAAAGTCAATGAATCGTACCATTCCCCTGGTACGTATCATTCTCTAGCTTACCATTATCATTCGATCATAATCAGTTGGGTGATTGTTTGTCGATCGAACTCTCCCCGGGGAAATCTCTCTCTCTCCCGCTGTTGCGCGATCGTTTCGCTATTGATCGATTCGTACTTTTTCAACTCGGGTGCAACACCTGCGAGGCCGCAAACAATGTGTGGTTCTATTAGAACGGAATCATTACTGTTTCAATGAAAAGTTATCTTTGAGATTCCTCTGAATACTACTAGTAATTGTCGTGTTGATCGATTGACTCGTCTTATCATTCTGACGCTTCCCATGACTCATATTCGACTTTTCAGCGGTGTGAAAAACTAACACATGATTTTGAACACTTTTTCATCATGGTTGTACGCACGTAACTTGTAATCCACTGAAATAACACCCGTTCATAGCCTTCCCCATTAGTTTTTGATTGATCTGACCTTAGCGAGTGCTAGTTATTTTACTTGTTGACAGGTAAGTGCGGGCGCGCCCAGGTACCAAAGTAAATTGTGTTGTTGTGTTGTTGACCATAATTGAATGGCATTCATCTAAAGATTAAATGAGCCAGTTGTTTTGGGTATCCTCCACCCAGAGATGAATAGGGGTGTTCCCCCAGTCGAGATGTGCGCATGTGCGATTGTTGTATGTTTTGTGTTGCTGTGGGACTGGGGCTGGGGGTTGACCTTGTATGGCCTCGGCGACAATTACACATAGTGCCCAGTTACCTCATTTGGAAACGACGCCCCATACTATTTAATTGTCTATTACAGGTCAATTTACTGTAATCTTCAACAAAACCCCTTTTTCATTGAATTTCGATCTTCTGAAATTACTCCAGTTAACGATTGCCAGTGTAGTTAACTCTATAATATGATAGAGACGGGCCTACGACAGGTTTCGCCGACAGCCTCTTCGACTTACTCATCCGTTTCTCCTCATTTCATAACTCTTCGCCTTTCTTCTCCATTCACTCCCAAGGCCTCCTTTTAAGGCATAATTTTTCGGTTTCAGACAATTCATGAGGACGGTCACACATGTTGTTTGATTTAGTCTATTTTATATTGCTACCTAGCGTTCAAGCATTTCATCCACCAACTCTTACAACTGAAACTGGAGAAGTTCAGGTGGGTCTTTTCCTAAACTACGATGGAGTACAAAACTTGTAGGCAGTCGGATTAAGTAGTATAGCATAATTATACTTGAATCGTAATTATTACCGTAATTACTTCGACTATACTGTAGCAGTCCGTCCTAGATGAGATACGAGTTTCATCCAGTAATAGTCATCGTCAGTAGTGATCATGATAAAGTCACTTCTATTCCCATGTTACCAGTGTAGTAATATCAGTACTACAGTACTGGGTAGTAAATAACATTAACACTACAGTACATGGTAGAAAATCAATATTTTTTGTAGAATGATCCTACGATTGGGTATTTCATTCAACGTGACGTCGGTGAAGACATTCTCTTGACGTGTTCTGATATCACCAATGAAGGTGAGCTGAGTCTGACTCATTGTGGCTACCTTTTAACATTCCATAAAATCAAATCGATTTTCTCATTGATACTGTATTGATGCTCCGTATTGATCTTTGTTCATCGTTCAAGCTGTCGAGTACGCGTTCCCGAATCTGACCGATAATCGTGGCTATTCCGAAGAAGATTTTAACTCACGCTATACTATTGAGGATATTTCCTATGGCCATACCCTCCATATCAGGAATTTGAAGGTATTCCAATTGTTGTTTACGAGAATAGATCCTCAGTCTAGCCACAACCGTGTGTAAAACACAGGTGTTACGTTGTGAGTTGGCAGTTGTCCTAGGGATGACAACATCCTAAATCAAAAGTGCTGAAAAAAATTCGAGGCTTCTTGATGTATGACTAAGCTTATCACCTCTTCAACTTTAACCTGAGTCATCAGTCAAGTTTCAAATTACGCCATACGCTTGAGGCTCCGCCTTTTTTCTGAGAACTGGAAAACGAGAGATTGGGAGGCGAGATTTGTACATATTTTAAATACGATTCTATTCCTTGGAGTGCGGAAGTCAAATGATAGTCCAACTTATGCCATTTATTATTTATTTGTTTACTGAAGACGTAACCGTAGTTCGCAAGAGAAGAAATTTCGTGATTATCAGAAAACTTATGCAAAATTTTGTTGCTTTGATAACCTGGTCTTGTTTTCATTAGATTTTTTTATCGCTTACTACCATTTACTACTCTTAATTTCTCATTCACCTCTGTTCACGATTCCCCGTTCTTCAACTAACTGTGGACTGTAACCGTAGATTTCTAAGCTCTTTCCTATCGATTCCTTTCCATACCAATGACAGGATGATAACCTGACGTGTGAAATCGGCTGAAGGAGGCAAAATCGAAGGGAGTAATACGTACTAAACCAGGACCTCTAGAAGAGTTCGCTTCGGGACCATCAAAGTTCCGTGCGTTTTCGTGACAGTGTATGGTAAATAAACCGTTCAAAGTTCTCTGGGAAGGTGTAGACGCATGAGAAATCACATGCGCTGGCGCGTTTGTTCGAAGGTGCTGTCGTAGAAAAAGCAGCCATCTGTTTTGTGGTCCTGGGATAGTATCTGGAGGCACATACATAGGCTATCGGCGCCCGCTGGCCACCAGTTCAAAAAAGAGCTACGGCCGGACTCGATCTGGATTGATTTGGGCTCAAACTCTTTTGAGTATACTGCATATTGACTACGATTTTCTTGAACGAATCACTAACGGGAAGTAAGTTACCAATTGCTTACATTCCTCGAACATCACGGGTGGAAGACAATCAAAAGATACTTTACAAGATCTTTAAGAAGAATGTTTTTCGTTCGAGTTTTACACATAAATAAATGGTAGCCGCTCCCTGTATAACACAAGAACCTTCAAGTGTAGTGATTGGTTTTTGTGAACCACCCTGCACCTCACAAACCCTGCCCATAGATGGCTTACTCCTCCTACTTTGACAAGTCTCGTCATTTCTGTCAATACAAACGAGCCAGGATGCGCATTTCCTCCTTACTTACTTGTCATCTAAAAGTAATAACGATGGATTTGAATACGGTATAAAGAGATCTTCCTCCGACAATTGATCTGCTTACCACACTATTGAGCTGTTTATCCGTGATTTCTGGGAGTACCAAAGGCCCATTCCAGCGAACGTTTAGAAGTCGCCAATAAACTGTTTATGTTTATTTAAAAAATTATTCAAGTTTCATTGCAAATACGGCTTCCGAGGCATCCGACAATCAGTGTTGTTTGAGCCATCAAAAAATGATTAGATTATTTACTTAACATTATTATCTGCGTCTTAGAGCACATTGTACTATAATGTGGCATCGAACTGATATGGTGATATCAGCACAAGTTTGGCAAGTAAAAAGGAGTAGATAAGTAATTACTCATGGGTTGCTTATCGTTCAGGACAAAAGTCAAGCAGTTACTTTGACAAGGTGATAAATCTGCATATTTGAGTAGATGATTAAGCTCTCTGAGAAACTCTGCATGCGAATAACAAAAGGGGCCGTCACTGGCATTCCTATTACTTTACCATTACTGTTTCTAACAGAATAGTCATGCATTTGCAGCTCAATCACGAAAGCTGCTGCAACAGCCGAGCCGGCTAGTGTTTATATAATTAATTTTGCAGCGGAGGAGTGTTGTCCTTTCGCTTCATCTCTGCTGAGTACTTTTAATGGAGCTGTAATCTAAACAATAAACAACCTCAGGAAAGTTGCATTGTTTGCCATCAAAATGCTTTCGAAGTAGTTATGTGAAAATGGTTCAGTGAATTACAAGTTAAAAGCTTCTGAAAGTTTTTGCATGTGCATATCAGTGGATCTATCCACTAGTAATCGTTATATTTACATAGTTCAAGTGAACTATGATACCAACGTTTTTCTGAAGTTTTCATGAGTAGTTCTCTTTGAACGCCCAGTAGTTTTGTCTCTAATCAAATAATGAATGCCGATCATTTGAGGGAAGTAAATGCGAGGAACGCTTCAGTGATCAAAGGGGCTAAGGAGCTTTCGAATCGCGATCAACGGTTGAGATTGAGACCGTAAAGAATTCTTAACTGGTTACTACCTACTTCGTTTGACTTTATATCGAGTCAGCTGCTCTGTTCTTCAGTCGAGTTTGTTGAGAAAGGAGCCAGAAAATTCTTAAACACCTTTTTGGAACTTGTAAATTTCCGCACTGTCCGCAAGTACGTATAGGCGTTTTTGTCTTTTATGAATGGGATGCTGGAATAAAAACGACAAGTGGGAAACTTGTAAAGGTGCTATAGGTATAGAAGTATATTAAAGTAATAGTTGAAAAGCTTCAGAAGTTGAGCTTGTAAAGACATGCAAGATTCCACTGGTTCTGAATGGCTTACGCCGTGCCTTGCAAAACAGTGAAAGAAAAGTAAATAACAAATTTTTAAAACCATTTTATCCTTGCAACTTGTGCCATCTGCAGATTATTTTGAATCAGCTGTAATGTTTCCTTCTCGTCGTGGAGCCTTCAATCTCCAACATGATTTCAGGAATCCGACACAGGAACCTATCGATGCCACTCTAAAGATGATCCGTCACTGAGCTCAGAGATTCATATATTTGTCAGAGGTGTGTCTGTTGGATATTATTACTACTACTAGTTCGTACTAAGTGGATTAGCTGAGATCTCCGCTCGTTATCAATTTCATCTTTAGAATGCCGATTCGGCCGATTACGGCGTCTAGAAACAACTAAGATTGTTTTCAGTAATCTCTTTGGTAGTCTGTCACTGAGGCAGCTCTCAAAGAACACTGCTCTTCGCTGCCCATTGCACTTGGGTTTTCAACTCTCAGGTCTTCTCCTCGTTCCTTTCTCACGGACTCTCTTTTACCTCCTACTTTTTCGAGATTTTCTCGAATATGATGGACCAGCTGGGACCTCTATAATTCTCTCGTAGAATTTCCGGTTCCTATGGCTGGCTGTTGAAAGTGGTCATCTTCTGGTGTGTCAGCATCCACCTCACTTTTTCACATATACCTTGTTCTATTTCTCTAAAATTTCAATAGCAATAGTTACTCAACCACCTGTGCAATGAGCAACTATCATTCTACTGTATTCCTTTGAACTCTGGTTTTTAGAGCCTCGGACTACCCTAGCGTGACCCTTTCTAGCAACCTCTTGGTATGTTCTGGGTTA